AGGTGCTGGAAACCCGGCCCGAGGAGCCCATCGCCTTCTTGGCGCACTACTTTGAAAACATGGGTCTGCGTTCGCCGGCCAACGGAGGCGCCGGGGAGCCCCCGGGCCAGCTCCTCCTGCAGCAGCAGCGCCTGGGCCGCGCGCTGTGGCACCTTCGCCTGGCTCACCACTCGCAGAGGTGCGGACCGATGGCGGGCGGGGTGGGTGTCAGGACTACAACTCCCGAAAGGCCTCGCGCTGGCGCAACTCGCCGCCGGCGCGGGGCGTTTCCGGGAGTAGTGGTCTGTCCTGTTTTCCCAGGTTTGGTTGGCTTGAGGCGGTGTAGCAGCTGGGTTAAGCCTCTCGGCACGCATAGCATCGATTTCGGCCATAGTGAGCACGGGGTGTACTGGAAATTGTGCTCCTTGTAGGAAGTGTTGGGAGTTGTAAGTCCATCCATTGCACGAGCTTCCAGATGATTAGGGCCTGGAGGGGATTGCTTTGAATCCGTGTCCATTTTGTCCTCGCAGCCCAGGGTTTTGGAAGTCAAGAAGCCCAGCGAGGTAGCATAAATAGCTGTGGTGCTTGTCCAGGAGATAGGCAGTCTGCGTACCCCCAGCCTACAGAAGAAGTTCCTGACATGCACTCTCAGAGCACAGGCTGGTCTAGAGCCGGATGTGAGCCCTGCAGGGAGCTCCACAGTGAGAGCAGTGAGAGTGTAGATGACTGAGGACACTTTTTCACTGCATAGTGGATGAGGGAAGCTGATCGTTAGGTATCATCAGCCAGGGGGTGACCAGATGGATGAGCTGGTACTTGAGGTCTCAGCATAGAAGAAGACTCCGGTAGGAGAGCAGGGAAGGGGGCACAAGGCGGAAGATGGTGGGCAACAGCGGCTCTGGCTTCCCCTAGGGAAGTGAAAGTCCAGAGAAAATACATTTCCTGCTGAGCAGACCAGACATCCCTGCACCAGGGGAAGGGACTCAGTGTCCAAGATGAGAGTCAGGAAGGGAAGAGAAGGGTGGGGTGGGGCGGGCTGATGGCCAGGGTGGGAGGGGCACAGGCACAAAGGCAGGAGACCAGCGAGAAGGTGGACAGTCTTCAGCTTCAGCAATAGGGGATGTGAGTGGGGAGACTGAAGGCATCAGCAGAGAAGCATGCACACAGGACTGCACCCTGAGATGCTAGGATGTCACCAGGTCTCTCACCACCTAGCCTCTGTGCCACCAACCTAACCCTGCCAGTCACTGAATCCATACCTGCCATTCTCTGGCAAGGACTCATTTTAACCAGCTGAAACCACAAAAGCTGTGTGTTTACCACATTCTGAGGTTCTGTATGGGCACAAACTTGGGGCCATTACTCACCCCAGGACCTAGTGTTATACCACTAACTGTCAGCCGCTTAGGAGAGAGAGCATGGGGCAGGTGGAATCCTTAGAGATGCATCCAGGGGTGATCCCAGAAGCCACAGCCATGTTTCTGATGGCTCACAGAGCTAGGCTCTCTCTTCCCCAGGGAAACCTCTGCTCCCTCCCTACACCCCCGTGAGTGCTGTGTATGGAGACAGTGGGTCCTTGTGCAGTGCTCGGCCTGAGTCTGCACACTTGGCAGCTCTGCCACTGAGGCCTATCAGCAGAGGCCATGCCAATTCCCAGAACCTGAGGAGCTGAGTTTGTGAGGCCACCAGAGCACAGATCCGGGGGGGACTCCTCCCTAGATCTCAGACTCCCAGGTCTCTGTAGGCCATGGCTGTAGTGTCCCCATCAGTCACCTCCCTGCCAGCCTGTGAGAGCCACTTAGGGTCATTGTTCAACACGGAAGATGGCTGAAGCCTTGGCTATCAGAGGCCAAGCCAGTAGTCACACCCATGGGCTGCAACCCCTGCCACCCTTCCTAGCTACCACACTGCTGATAGCAGGAGAGAGACACTGACCCTTCTGTCCCGAAGCTGTTAGGGAGTCATTTTCATGACTCTCTTGGGGCTCTTTTGACCAAGAAAACTACATGACTTAAAAGAATGGAGTTACTGGCTGGTCTTATTGGGAGACAAGCCAGCCTAAGCTTCCTCTGCACAGCCATTCTGTGGGAGGCACCCCAGCCCCTGCAGGGTGCTATCAGCATCCTTGCCTCCACCCCACCCCACCCTTGCCAGGAGCTCTCTGAGTGGAAAGACCTGAAACTGGTTTGTGCCCCCATACATCCTCCCAGCTCTGCCACTGGTAGGAGGAGGGACGGAAGCCTGCTGGCCGTGGCGCACTCCTTTAATCCAGCACTGTGGAGGCAGAGGCAGACAGGTATCTGAGTTCAAGGCCAGCCTGGTCTACAGAGCAAGTACCAGAACAGTCAGGGCTTCACAGAGAGACCGTGTACCAAAAGAAAGTAAGGATAGGGGAGGGGCTCCCACTGTGTGTGCATAGTGCACTAAGTGAAGCCCCAGCTCAGGCTCTCCCAAAGCTGGAGCTCACCATCTTGCCGCTGCCTCATCACTTGTCAGTGACTCAATAGTGCTCCCCAGGGGCAGATGTGAGCCATCTGAGAAGTGGGTGTCCTTGTTCCATCCTGTGGCTGTAAACAGCCACAGGCAAGGTGTGACAGGCAAGGTGTGGCCAGCACACAGTCATGTGTGTCATCCATCCTTCCAAGAACCTGGAGGTGTGGACTTGGGGTTTGCATCCCACAGATGAGCTAACCAAGGCTCACAGAAGCAGTGCCAGAAAGCCAGTGACGCTGGGAGGTAGATCTGGACCTGGTACAGGAACCAGTCAAGGGCCCAAGCCTTGTGCCCCTGGCCATCACTGTCAGAGAAAGTAGAGACAGGGCAAGAGAGCTGATGGCTGTGCTGCTGTAACAAAGAGCCCCAGCATTTCCATAGCTCTTATCACAACTGGAACCCTGCTGAGTGACCTTCACAGAAGACACACAGTCTGCTGCAGCTGGGTAGCATTTATGAAGCACCTACTCCTCTCTGCTCTAGAAGGTGAAACATCCAAGGAGGCCCCGTGGTCAGGGCGGAACAGACCCCTCATGAAGTGGAGCCACATCAAAGCCAGAGTAGCGTCCATTGTCACACAGTTACTCTTTGGGTCCTGCATTCAGACCATCAGCCTGTTCAGAGTTTTGTACAAGGCTGTATTCATGGTCACCTCTGTGATCCACTAGGAAGAACCCTGTCCTGAGGCCAGAGAAGGAGCCACCTGACTCACCACACTCTCCCCATGTATACTAGCTCTTAGTGGGGCATGGGATTTAGCCACAGGTCTGTGTCAGAACTGGCTGGCTACTCGGTCTCAATAAAACTTTATTTACAAGACAGCCACAGTGGCTAAGGCAGGAAGGTCATGGGCTCAAGCCTCAGCTACTGAGAGCCCCTGCTTCTAAATAAAGAGCTGGCTTGCCATAGGATGGCTGCATGAAGACACCACACTAAGGATTAGTGTGTAAGGGAGGGCACTAACGACGGGTCTGCCTCGGGCCTTGTGCTAGGGCAGAGTGAATGACCCTGTCACAGATACCAGCTGAGAGTCAGCTGAGCTCAGGCAGGACTCAGGTGGCAAAATGCACAAAGGCCTGGTTGCAGCCCCAGCACCGTATAAACTGATCATGGTGGCACTTAGCAGGAGGGTCAGTAATTCCAGAACATCCTGAGTATCAGAGTTCAAGATGTCCCAGCTACATGAGATTCTGTCTCAAACAGACACACACACAGCACACATACCACACACACACACCCGCCATGGCTCATCCAGTAAAAGTACTTGCTGAACTCTGCAACCTGAGTTCAATTCCTGGAATCTGAAGATAACGGGGACCTAACTCTGAGTTGTCCTCTGAGCCAGGCGTGGTGGCACACACCTTTAATCCTGCACTCCAGAGGCAGCAGTGATCTTGAGGTTAGCCTGGTGTACACAGCTAGTGCCAGGACAACCAGGGCTACACAGAAAAACCCTGCCCTTAAAAAACTGGGGAAAATAAAAAAGTTGTCCTTGGACCACCACATACATCATGCATACACATGTATGCTTATGATAAGTTGTTTTTAAGACAAGTTCTCTATATAGACCAGGCAGGTCTTGAACTCACAGAGATCCACTCTGCCTCTGAGTACTGGGATTAAGAGATACCATTTTCATCTTAAATTTGTATACGTATGGGTACTTCGAATGTGTCTGTGCACCATGTGCATGCATGCCTCACACCTGCCTCAGAGGCCAGAAGAGGGCATCAGATCCTCTGGGACTGGAGTTACAGATGGTTGTGAGCCATAATGTTGGTGCTGGGAATCGAACCCAAGTCGTGAATAAGAGCAGGCCTACTGATTGAACCATCTCTGCAGCCTCTTAAATAAACTTTAAGAAAGCAAACACTTAGGGTGCCTGGTGCTCTACAGGAAGAGGCAGACAAATGAAGAGCTCAGGTGGGTCTGGAAAGGCCCAGGTGGCCAGCCAGACTGGGGGCTGCTGACACCCCACTATCCCTGCAGGACGGCCTTCAATAATAACGTGAGCGTGGCCTATGAGTGCCTGAGTGCCAGCGGCCGAAAGAAGAAGCCGGGGCTGGACGGGCGTACGTACAGCGAGCTGCTGAAGCGCGTTTGCAGGGACGGCGGGGCACCTGAGGAGGTGGTGGCGCCGCTGCTGCGCAAGATCCAGTGCCGGGACCATGAGGCTGTGCCTCTGGGCATCTTCCGAACCGGCATGCTGTCCTGCTTCGTGCTGCTGGAATTCGTGGCGCGCGCCGGCGCCCTCTTCCAGCTGCTGGAGGACCCTGGTCTAGCGGTGGCCGATAGGCGTGTGGGCCAGGCCGTGCTGGACACGCTCGAGGGCGCGCTGAGCGCAGGAGACCTGGCAACGGCGCCCACACACTACCTGGAGGCTGGTTCCCGCCTGGGCCCCGACAGCCTTGCGCGTGCCCTGGATAGGGCGGCGAGCGGGCGACGACCCAGCGCACCCATGGCCCGCGAGGAGTTCCTGGAGAAGGCTGCAGCCCTCTTCATCGCCAAGGTCAAGCCGGTGGGCTAAACCCACAACGCACCCACACTCTGCCCTCTGGAAGGTGTGAACTTGGTACCTGCAAACTGATGTCCCTGCATTCTGCACCGGGTCATCACCCAGGAAGGGAGACCTGCTGTACTGGCCTGCCTACCCCACTCACAGAAATAAAATCTAAAAAGACCCGGCCTTGCTGGTCACCTGTGTGCAGCGAGCGCCCTAAAATCCCTTGGAATCACCAAAGATGAGGGGAGACCAGGACATTTCTGAGTAGAGCACGTCTCTTCTGACCCCACGACTGCACCCCTAAACTTCCAATGGGGGATTCTAGGCTGGGGGGTCTACCCCTGACCACACCCCCAGCCCTTCACTGGGGAATGCAAGGCAGGGCCTCAGCCTTCTTTAGAGTTTATTAAACCTTTATTCTGTGATGGTCAGAGGACAGCTTGGGGAAATCAGATCTGTCCTTCCACTAACTAAACCCAGGACAGTTTGGGTAGCATCTTTACCAGCTGAGCCATCTCACCTGCTCTTGTTATTTTGAGACAAGGTCTCAGTTGTCTGGACTTGCTTGAACTCTTGACCCTTCTACCTAAGCTTTCCATCAGCTTGAGTGACAGTGGGAGCTACCATGCCTAGCTGTGTCTGTGCTTTCTAAATCCCATGTTTGATCAGAGACAGGCTGGACCTGTCCCATCTCTCAGCACTGGGATATGAGCCAGTCACCATTGACCAGAAAAGAGATTTCTAGAAACTCCACTTCTCTGGGAGTTCACCAGGCAAGTAATAGGAAGGAAGAATTAGTGCTCCCTCCATGGAGAAGTTACCGTGGACCAGGACACCTGGATGTGTTCTAATAGGGGTGGGCGTGGCAACGAGCAGAGCCTGGATTTCTCCCACCCATAGCTTCCTAAGGAAGGACCCTCCCACTTCCCCACCCATGCACAGGTCACAGACCACCCTGATCTTCTTGACACCCCGTGACCCCAGGGAATTGAACCACTGGAAGAGATAACGAAAACCTGGCACGGATTGACGTCATCAACCTGGACCAGTCTTCCAGGGACCTAATGCCAGGGGGTTCATTGTCAGCAAATTTGTCACAGTGCAATTTGGGAAAAGATTTCCAGGCAATAATGAGTCCAATTCCAGGTGCACAATAAAGCTTATGGTGTGACTACATAGAAACTCCTACAAAATCCATGTGACCATGACCAAGCCCCCTCAGTCAGTCAACCAGGTCTCAAGGGAGGGAGCAAGGATTGAAAAGAAAAAGAAAATCAGACAACAGTTTAGCATGACCCCAGCCATTTCTGAGACTGACGTGGGTTTATTTTTTTTCCAGCCTGCTTTTATACCATTCTAAGTACATGCAAAGAATAAGGTCAGTCCTAAGGCATAAACAGTTGTAGTTAAGGCGCAAACAAGGCAAAGGAGCCATGACTACTGTACTCAGAGACTTAACAGGACCCATGAAGACACAAGGAACACACTCCTCAGGTGTATTCATCTTGAGCTTTGTATTAGCCCAAACGTAAATATTTTTATCTGACCCTACTTCCCTGTCCTAGCCCAAAGTCAAATTCCTGCCAAGTTTCTAGAAGCAGCCCCAAGAGCTCTGCACATGGCCATGAGGGTGGGTTTTATAGCTGAAAGGCCTCAAACCTAGTGTAGTCTCTTGATTGAGGGAGCATGGGGGTCAGCAGGCCACAGAGTCCATGTGGCATCTGCCCCAAGGATAGGTAGGGGCTGGAAGAGTCTGGGATAATCGTTTGGGGGAATTTGGGTGAGGTTTGTCTCGATAGCAAAAGATGTATGAGGTGTGCTTCCACAGACAGCATATAGGTCACCAGGTCATTAACAAAATCCACTCTCAGCTGTCTGGATGGAGATACTTCTGTGTTTGACTTTCCTCCACTGAGGAGACATCCCTGTGTGAGGCCCTCGTGCCTCAACAGCTTTCCAGCAAGTTGCATCCCTAAGAGGAACATGTCCACAGTCATCCCTCTGCTGCCCTGGCCTCCTCACCCCTGGCATGTTTCGTTCTCACAGGAATTAATTACCACAAATGGTGTATTTATTTTATTATTTTCGTTGTTTTTGGTTTTGTTTTTCAAGACAGGGTTTCTCTTTGTAGCCTAACTATTCTAGAACCAAGTCGAACTCAGAGATATACCTGCCTCTGTCTTGGAGTACTGGGATTAAGGGGTGCAGCACTACCACCATATTTATTTTATCCATGTAGGCTGTTTCTCTGCTGCACTCCCTTTGGCCCCAAGTACAGGGATTGTACTTGTAGGACATATTTTTCACAATCTATTTTAATAAGGGTTCAACCTCTTCTCTAGCCCACCACTCACCAGAGGTAGTGGGAAAGAAAGGTTATTAGGACATGGGGAAGTGGGCCTGTTTAGAAATAGTTCTTTGGAACAATTTCAGTCTTCGTTGTTCTCAGTCCAGTCCACTCAGCAGACACCATACAGGAACCAGCAAGGGCAGTTCACTCAGCAGACACCACACATGAACCAGTAAGGGCAATTCACTCAGCAGACACCATACAGGAACCAGCAAGGGCAGTTCAGGCCATAAGAGACCACAAGGTTCACCAGCCAGCCCAAGTCCACAGAAGCAGCAAGAAGCTCTTCCTCACGAGAAGTTCTGTCTCTACAAAGTCACCACAAACGGGGTTCAGCAACTCAATGTAAAGGGAACCAATACTTGCATGTTGTCAGCAAAAAATATCGAGGTGGAGCAAGGCAAACTAATGTTTCCACTCCCACTGTCTGTGGGGTCATATCTTCTTTCTAAACATCACATATCCTCACCTGTGTCTGCTTCAACAAAATACCGTTTCACCTGTCTGTCCCAACAAAACATCACATGACCACTGAGTTTCCAAAGAAAACAGAAATTTTTCCTTCACTAACCCAGCCACAGCCGGTCCATCCCACATTTTTTTTAAAGGTTTTTCGAGACAGGTTTGTCTGTGTAGCCCTGGCTGTACTGGAACTCACTCTGTAGACCAGGCTGGCCTTAAACTCAGAAATCCACCTGCCCCTGCCTCCCAAGTGCTGGGATTAAAGGCGTGCGCCACCACCGCCCGGCTCCATCCCTCATCTAAAGGCAGAGAGGCAGCATCCATGCTAGTGGCTTCCCTTTCCCTGTCAGCACCTACAGACCATCACCGTCTAGTCTCTGCCTCTCACCCCCCTGCCTCCCTCTGAGGATCCTAGGACAGCATCTAATCCCAGATGCTGCACTTGGGGCCACCTACCAGCTTCCTCCAGCATGTCCATGGAGGTGAGAGGTCTACAAGTTCTAGGGACCAGATAAAAATAAAGTCATTCTCCTTTGGGCAAAGTTGTCCATGCAAAGCAAGTAGCCTTACAGCCTCCCTCTCCCTGTTCCTCAAAGAGCCATAGCTGTATGCTTAGCCATTGCCTCCAAACCCATCGTGGGCATTGCTGTGATGTCACTGGGTGACACAAGAGAGTGTTATACATTTGTTTAGTGAGACAAGTCTTGTGTAGCCCAGATTGGTCATCTCATTATGTAGTCAAGGATAACCTTGAACTCTTGATCCTCTTGCCTCTACCTACCAGGTGCCAAGATGTCAGGTATGAGCCACCATATCTGATTTATGTGGTGCTGGGAATGAAATGCAGGACTTCAAGCTTCCTGGGCTAGCTCTCCTTTCCTATCTACATGCACTCTGCCCAAACCCAAGCCCAGCCCAGTTCAGCCCCATCTCTGATCCAGCCCAGCCCAGCCCCACCCCACCCCACACAAACATAGCTGCACCCTTGATCCAGCCTAGACCCAGCCCAAACTCACCCCAGCCTCAGAGCCAGCCCAGAGCCAGCCTAGCCTCAACCCCAACCCCAGGTTAGACCAGGCCTACCATCAGATCCAGCTCCAACCCTAACCCCCTGCCCAGCCCCTGCCCAGCCCCAGCTCCAGCAAGAATTTTCTATACCATTTCATCCTAGTCTTCTTACGGATGAGAAGCCTGGTTTGTTGGGCTCCATCCAAGGTTACCATGAACCTAAACTTGAACATAAAGCTATTCTTTGGCAGGTGACAAAAAGGCTCAATTCAAATGACGCACACCTTTAGTCCCAGCACTCGGGAGGCAGAGGCAGATGAATCTTTGTGTTTGAGGCCACCCTGGTCTACAGAACAAGTTCCAGGACAGCCAGGGCTACAAAGAGAAACCTTGTCTCAAAAACAAAACAACCAAAAGCCCCACAGCCTCCTGACTAGGGGGAAGCCAGGTGTGGATGAAGCAGAACACTAGCAGAAATTCGGACAGGGCAGAAGGGTCACACATTCTAAACTACACAGTGAGTTCAAGGCCAGCCTTGAGAGACACTCTCAAAAGTAAACAAGCCCAGTTATGGTGGCACATGCCTTTAATCTCAGCACATACAAACAGAAGCAGACAGGACTATGAGTTTAACTACAGAGCAAGTTCCAGGCCATTTGGGGCTACATGATAAACTCTGTCTTAACCGGAAGCATATTTCTCAGCATCTTCCACCTCCTGGGACATCTCAGCTTTCCAGAATGTCATACTTGTTCAGAGTCTTATGGGAAGAAATGGTCCCATAGTCCGGGGCCAGACCTCCTAGCCCTGCTCCTAGGATGTGCCCAGGACTAAGGCTTATCATGAACCATTTCCTGCAGCTTGGGGTGGGGGCAGCCAGAATGTCCTTGCTTTGAAGAGACCTGAATTATCCTCATCAGATGACCAATCTCTGTGGCTGGAGATTTGGGTCATGACATCCATGTCTGAACATCCCACGGTAGGTGACCCCAGTCACCAGAAGCCAGACCAGCACCCTTCCTGGATGCACAACACCCAGCATTCAGGTCTATGAAGCCCAGGTGCAGGCTCGCCTGGGAGTAAGGAGATGTATGAAACAACTGGAGGGAGGGGAATCCTGTCCGTGTATACATCAAGGGCTTCTTAGGTGTAGGCTGTGGGAGTGGTTATCTCAGACACACAGAGAAGAAAGCCTGGGCTACTTGACTATGTACTGACTACTAGGTGACAGTGTAAGGTTGGCAGTCTGACACTGACAACAGGGGCAGATAATACTGGAAGCCCTTGGAAAAGGAGTGTAACCAGAAAGCCTTCTAGCTCAAGGGCCCAGAGGCCCCAGGGAGAGGCCAGCCATGGTTCCACTGCACATGAAGTGGCATTGGACCCTGGGCTCTTCCCTGGTCCCATCAACCAGCTCTACCTTTGACACTGTTTCCTTGTCCCCAAACAGGTCTACCTGCTGTCCCCAGCCAGGAAAGGATCCTGGAGCACCTGTGGTAGGGAGTGCCCGTTCCCAGCGGCAAGTGATGATGCAGCTGTAGTCCACCAGAACGCCCACAGTCAGGGGGAGTGAGCAGCACAGCCTATGGCCAGAGCCATCCACCCCCAGAGGTCACGGGCACACCACACACACCCTTCTCCAAGGCTTGAATATGTTGCCACCCCCAGTGCTCATGACCAAATATCCAAGAAAGGAGTCTCTGGTGTGGGTGTCTGGGCCGGACAGCCTCAGGGACTTTGCGTGTCTGTTCCTGCTCATGTAAACCTTGCGGGATACCTCACCACGGCTTTCTGATCTATTTAAGAAGGACTAAGGTGTGATCAAAGGTCACACCCTGACTTAAGGGTCCTCCCAGGCCAGGGGTTCAGAATCCACCTCCTGGAAGCCAGGTCTGCAAACCCCAAGTCGTCGATTCTGTGGGCCCTCCTTCTACCTGAGCCCATAAAGACCAAAAGGCGACAGCCCTTCATGCTGGGAAACAAGGGCGGATCCTGCTCGTTCCCTCACAAGCCACGCCCAATTTCCCACCCACAACCACGCCCCCTGGACGTCACAAAAAAGGCCCCCAAAGCGGCTGCTGCCACTTCGCAGCGCGCAGCCCGGCCCTGGCCGCCACTCCGCACACAGGCATCCGCGGAGCTCTTCCGGCCGGAGGCGACGGCGGCCTCCGGGGCTTCGGAAACCCAAGGCGCCTGCGCGGCGGGGCGGGGGAAGAAGACTACACTTCCCGGCGCGCCCCGCGGGCGGGCGCGCAGACACATTCCGGACCCGGTGGAGGCGTCGCACAGGCGCATTCTAGACCCGGCAGTGGCGCGCAGGTGCATTTCCGGCCCGGCAGCAGCGGCGCGCAGCCGCATTCGACGCCCGGGTGTGGCACGCAGGCGCATTCGGGGCCCGAAGGAGGCACGCAGGCGTATTCGGGGCCGGGAGCCGGTGCGCAGGCGCTTTCTAGGCCCGGCGGCTGCGGCGCGCAGGCGCGTTAGGCGCGGGCCGGGCCGGGCCGAAGCGAGCGCCGGGCGGGCAGCGGCGCCAGAGCGAGTGGAGCCTTCGGGGTCCCCGGGTGGTGGCGGCGGCGGCGCAGAGGAGGAAGGCGGCGGCTCTCCCCCTGCCGGCGCGCGACCCGGTCCGTCCCGCGAGCTCGCGCCAGTCCCGCGGCCCGGCCCGGCCCCGGGCCCCTCCGCCGCCGCCACCGCCATGGCCCGGCCGCTGGTGCCCAGCTCGCAGAAGGCGCTGCTGCTGGAGCTGAAGGGGCTGCAGGAGGAGCCGGTGGAGGGCTTCCGGGTGACGCTGGTGGACGAGGGCGACCTGTACAACTGGGAGGTGGCCATCTTCGGGCCCCCCAACACCTACTATGAGGGTGGTTATTTCAAGGTAAACCGAGCCTCAGTTTCCTCTCTGGGCCTGCCTCTCTGCCAGGGTGGCTCAGGCCCCTCTTGCAACGCGACCCCTCCCTTTTTTGTTGAGCACGTGCTGATCTCACCCCGGGGACTGGTCTCCCTGGATTGTCCTCCAACAGGCTACAGGACTAGGGACAGCTAACGTATGCCGCATCCCCAGGCAGCCCCCCACCACATGACGCAGGGGCCTCTAGAGCCTGCTGCTGGTCAGCGAGTTCCCCGACTGTCCTGCACTGGACCAAAGACATACTTGGGAAAGGATCTCCCCGTGTTGTCCCCATCCTTCCAGCATGCTTCTGGTGAAGAGTCTCCTCTTCCCGGGGACAGTTGCTTGCCTTCTTGTCCCCGGGTAATTCCCCACCACCACAGACACAAAAGCTTCTGGAGCCCTCTGCCGGCAAGCGTGTTCCCAGGTTGTCCCTCACTCCACTAGCATGTGGTGAAGCCTGGCAAGATTCTTAGGTTGTCCATATCTCAAGATGAAAAGGACCACGGGCAACTGCTGGCTGGCATCCGCAGGCATGTCCCCCACCCTCGAACACAGAACCATGGCTGTCGCTGGCTGATGTGTCACCAGGGAAGGGACGTGTAGCCTGGACAGCCACCTGCTCCAGTTCCAGTAGAGGCCCTGACAGGGCCTTGGGAGCCGTGCCTGCTTGGACAACGGCCACCTTTAGCCCTAGCCAGGATTTATGTAATGCATTCCAAGGGGGCGGTGGGGCCCACCCCGAATCTTGAGCCACACCCTGGGTTTCTGCCCTGGGCCCTGAACGCTAGAGCTCTGTTTGCCCCGCCCTGACAGCCTTTCTCAGGTTCCACTGAACAGGTGGCTTCTTAGGGGCCTGATTTTTCCTTCTAGGCTGTGTTGTCTGCCCTCTGGTGGCTTCAGGCTCAATACATCAGATATTTTTGTGGTTGGGAGCAGGAGCCCTGGGCAGTCTCTCACGCTGGGTATGTGTAGTCAACTATAGGTACCCACATCAGGACAGTTGGCTCATCTCACCTGCCGTGGGCTACAGGAACTAGCAGAGTTACAGAATCTCATGCTAGGGCCAGAAGGGACAAGATGAGGCCAGTCTGGGGGCCCCAGGTGTAGGGCCGTGGCAGATAGTTGTTCTGTGTCTTCCTTTGTGGTCGATGTCCTTACTCTTCCTGGTCAGTGCTTAGGAAAGCCGCAAGTTTATTTATTCAGAGTACAGCATGTGGAGAATGGGAGGGAGAAGTGGAAGTGGTCTGAATTAAACCTTCAGGATATCCAGATGCTGTTAGCACCTTGTCTCCTGCGTATCCTGGGAGGGGTGTTGGGAACTGCCAGGGGGACAATAGTTCTTCTCGTAGGGTCACCTGAACTGTTCCTTATCTGTAAAGGATTGTGGGTAGAGCCTCCTAGGCTCACATTCTTGAGATAGCTTAGGAGGAAGCCCTGCCAAGATGTTAGTCAATTGTGCCAGTGTGGGACCCTCTTATATGTGGGTGGCTGAGACATGGGGAGACCCTGTAAGAGGGGAGCTGTGAGGGCCTTCCTCTGGACAGCCCAGCCTGTCTGGGGCTATCCAGGAAGGGATTAGGAGCACCTTTCCTGTTACTGAGCCACAGCTTGCTCATTCCTTTTTTGTTTTTTTGTTTGTTTGTTTGTTTCGAGACAGGGTTTCTCTGTGTAGCCCTGGCTGTCCTGGAACTCACTCTGTAGACCAGGCTGGCTTTGAACTCAGAAATCCACCTGCCTCTGCCTCCCAAGTGCTGAGATTAAAGGCGTGCGCCACCACTGCCCGGCCAGCTTGTTCATTCTTAAAAAGCATCTGGAGCCACAGAAGTGTGAGCCGTGGTTCCAGCCATGCCACTTTCCCACTCTGCTCTCCTGACAGGGTCAGGGTTGAAACTCCACTCTAGGTTTGTGTGTGTCAGGCAGACCCTCTAGCTTGTGTTCCTGGCTAGCTCTGAGATCACAGGCCAGTTTCCGTAAGTTCTCCATGTCCAGGGAACACTGTAAGCTGTCCTTGGGGAGCCCCAAGACTAGGGCAAGCCTCAGGCCTTCTCTACCTGTCCAAAGTCTGGGAGACAGTTGACAGGGTGAACTGCAGCCACAGGCAACTGCTGTGGCCAGGCCGATGGTTCTAGCTTGTCTGGCCTGGGCCCCTGAGCTTGGGTGGCGGTAGTTTGGGCCTGAGGCCACGCAGGAGACCTGCTGACTCACTACTCTAGCTAGCCCTCACCAAATAAATGATACTGCCTCGCCTTTCCTAACCTGGGTGTCAGGTCATAGAGCTGCTCTGTGTGTGCAGAGACTAAGGTTGGCTTCAGGGCCTGAACACCAGAGGCAGCCACTGTTTTTTGTCCCTGTTGGGCCCAACCCCTAACTCCCGTGCTCGGGCTGCCATTGAGCCACCCCACTTTCTGCCATCTGTAGGCTCGCCTCAAGTTCCCCATCGACTACCCGTACTCCCCACCAGCCTTCCGGTTCCTCACCAAGATGTGGCACCCAAACATCTATGAGGTAAGACACTAGATACCTGGCTCAGGCACACTTCACCACACACACCTCCTGCCTCCATTGCACATGTCCCACCTCCCATCTAACCCTAGGCATTCTTACAGACAGGGGACGTGTGCATCTCCATCCTCCATCCTCCAGTTGATGACCCACAGAGTGGGGAGCTGCCCTCAGAGCGGTGGAACCCCACACAGAATGTCAGGTGAGAGTCGCACCATGGCCGCCCCAGACACCCTGTACCTGAGGTCCCTCCTTCCTTGCTCCAGGCTGGGGTCCCCAGAGTCTGTGAGGAGCTGAGCTTGCACCCATGTTCTACAGGACCATCCTCCTGAGTGTGATCTCCCTGCTGAATGAGCCCAACACCTTCTCGCCTGCCAACGTGGACGCCTCAGTGATGTACAGAAAATGGAAGGAGAGCAAGGGGAAGGACCGCGAGTACACGGACATCATCCGGTGAGCACTGCTCCCAGCCTGGACAGTGCCTCTCCGCAATAGACATTGCCTGCTGTGAAGAGTGGCGTGTGTGTGTGTGTGTGTGTGTCGGGGGTGGGGTGGGTACTATTGTATATTTCTGTTCTTGCATCCCCAGCTGGATGTGTGAAGAACCCTGTGGCCCCCAGAGCACCAAGTTGGCCACCTAGGATGGCACGATCCTCTCTGCCTTGTAGTTTGGCTCATCTCTATGGGCCACCCCAGGCCACACCCTCATATCTACCTGACCATCACTTGTATTCGTGCTTCTGAAGCTTAGAGCAGTTTTTGCAAAGTGGGGAGGTCGCGGAGCCCACTGTAAGCCTGTCCTCAGACGGGGACCCATGCTGTGGCCTGCTGCTGTCTGTAAATGGTAGTGTCCACATCTGTCATCACGTCTCAGCAGGAGCTCCTGGCCTGTCATAGGGTCAGGTAGTCTCCCCTACACCCCTCAAGCTGGTTATGAAGTTTCACTTGAGAGATTTTGGGCGTGTGACACCCTGCCTCTGTCTAGGTGTGTGGAACGTCAGCCTTGTCACTCAGCTTCTGTGTTCTCTGAGACAGGCTCTCCTATAACTTATATCTCCTCGAGTTCCCTTCTGATGGGACCCAAACACATGCGGCCTGTAATGTTCCCGTGCTGGCTGCAGCCTAGGCCCATCAACCAACGGGTGTGCTGAGCAAGCCACAGACAGACAGACAGACAGGGCAGGCACCTGCTCAGCCTGCCTTCTCAGAATGGGTACAGCCTCCAACTTGGTCCAGCATGTGGAAGACACTGCTGGGGTTAGTCTCTGGCCTTCGAACAAGATGGATGTAGCCACCATGATCCTCCAGGGAGGTATTAGTTATTCAGGAAGGTCTGAACACTCACTGTGGAGGTGTCACCTTCACAACAGGCAGGTCACCGAGGGTCCCTGGAAGTCCCGTTGTTCTGTGTTCAGGCTGGCCTGTAACTTTCTGCCCTCCTGGTTTTCCCCAGCTAGAAAGAAGGCCAACTCCCCTGTGGACTTTGTTTTCTCACGTTTTTTATTTTACACAAAGTTTTACTATAGAGCTCTGGCTGTCCTGGAACCAGGAGACCCAGGGTCTGGACCTGTCACTGCAGCTTTCCAGCTTCCTGGCAGCCCTTAGCCCAGCTCTCCTGGCTGTGTCCTCCCTGTATCTCTGTCCCAGAGCAGGAGCCCCAGGCTATTTTTACCATTCTGCCTCCTGGAGCCACTTGCTATGACCATGAGGCCTGTATTACTCCCGGGACTCACGGAGAGGCAGTGTCTAGTCATGGCCCTGCCTCGGCACAAGCACAGGACAGCTGGGGAGCCTGTGAGAAGGACCTTGAGGATGAGTTTAGGCTACTGTGATGTGCTGCTGTCACAGGTGCCCCTCCAACATTGTCTTGTACCCCATTCCCTCTGGGAAGCTAAGACCAGTGTCCACTCTGCTTGCCTTTTGCATTAGGACTTATACACTGTGACTGTGTCCTAAGGACGGCCTGGCCTGTCAGGCACCTAAGGCTGCATCCCAGCCCTGATTTTTTAGTTAATTGCTGCCCCCTGTGCAAGGAAGCTCTGGTGTGTTACTTTACCTATGTCCCTGTCACGTCACCTATGGCCTGTGGGGATAGGAACCTCAGTTCCTCCAGGACTACCCTTTTTTTATCAGAGGACCCTTCAGGTTAGGGTGCAGTTTGGGGGAGTTTGATGTCAGTGGTATGTGGGTAGGTGTGTGCTGCCTATCCTGGGACTCACGGTGTGGTCCCCACGGTACTGCCATTACAGCATGGATCCTGGTGTGCCCAGCTGTTTCTGTGGTGCTGGAACTGGCCTTGGGTCCTTGTGCTTACACAGCATGCGGTCTGACTGCACTGTTTCCACCTCTGTTGTCCTTGTAAAACATCCTGTTAGAGCAAAAAAGAGGCCAGCCTGAGACTCAAAGCAGCCCTCCTGCTTCAGCCTCCAAGTGCTGGGTGACAGACCTGTTTCCACAGCTGGCTGTGGTTACCTTCCTGTGGAGCTGGTCCCCGAGCCACCCCTTGTCCCCTGAACATTTTCCTCCCACCTGTTCCCTGCCCCCCATTTATTCTCTTCTTTTGGAATCCCATTGTCCTGTTCTGTGCCCTCACCTACCCTGTCTCCCCAGGAAGCAGGTCCTGGGGACCAAGGTGGACGCAGAGCGTGATGGCGTGAAGGTGCCCACCACACTGGCCGAGTACTGCGTGAAGACCAAGGCGCCGGCGCCCGACGAGGGCTCAGACCTCTTCTACGACGACTATTATGAAGACGGCGAAGTGGAGGAGGCCGACAGCTGCTTTGGGGATGAAGAGGATGACTCTGGCACCGAGGAGTCCTGACCCACGTCCCTGAAATAAACTTACAAATTTTACCTCAGCAGGACCCGTGTGGGCCTCAGGCGACAGACTACCTCACCGAGGTTCCATGTGGGCTCCTGTCCATGATCCTTAGGTCCTCTTACCCCATATCCCCATGGGTTCTCTCGGCTGTGGAGAAGAGCTGTGGTGCAGGGCAGACACCCTCTCAGCTTTCAGATGATGATGAGCCTGGGAGGCTGGGGGCCAACTGCCTGGTGGGGACCCAGAGACTCCAGCCCAGCCCAAGGGGGCCAGCCCCACAGTCTCCTCCTCTCTGCTTTTGGTGTGTGTGAAATCCAAATAAAATAGCTTTCTGAGAAGCTGAGAGCGGCAGCCAGGATGCCAGTGCCAGCACTGGGTACTGAGGGCTGCCTGGGTAGCCTGGCCAGGGACACAGGATGGGGGTAGCAATGGTGGCCTTTTTGTTGGGGCTCAGGAGTGTACAGGGGCCCCAGGCCCAGAAGCAGCTTGCTGCCTGCAGACCTCACCTGCCTGCGTCTGACACTGGCCACATCCACTTCAAGCCTGCAGTCAGGTGGCCTGGGCCTGGGTCCTGAGGCATGCAGAGGTTTGGTGTTCTCAGCAGTCCTGTGTTCTGGGCACTTCCTGGAAACTCCAGTGCCTGCCTGAGGAGTCCCTGTGGCACCAGCTGCTGCCTGGTGACTCCCCACAGGAGGGCAGGGTGAGTGATGCTCTGACTACGTGTGGTACCTACAGTGACCAGTGCTGAGACAGCAGATGTGCTCTTATGGCTGCCTGCATGTAAGGGAAAGTGTCACTTCCCTTTATGTGGGCCACTCTCCAGAACAAAGGCCATGCTCTATTGAACATCGCTTAATGTGACCCATGCCAGTCCTAACTGATCAGAGAATGGTTGTTGGAAAGGCGTTAGTTCAGGCAATCATCTGCCCATACAGTTTGCGGCCAGCCTCATCTACAGTTGCAGGGCCAGCAATCGGGTCAGTGGGTAGAGGCCTGCGCCAAGCCTAGCACAGGACCTACATGGCTTGAGGGGAGAGCTGGCCCTCCAAGAGTCCTCCTCTGTGAGGGTTGAGGTCAGCTGAGGGAGACCCAGGATTCACCCCAGTGTTAAAAGATGCAGTGCACCAGGAGAATGCACATCCCTTGGCTGTCCTTGCTGTCCCAAGACACAGGGCAGCTTTGACAGTAGATTCTCTTTCTAAAACCACACAGCAGGGTGTGAAGGAGGAGGAGCTGACACTTGTGCATGGTGGGTGGTACTTGGAAGGCCACCTGTCCCCACAGGAAGAGAGGGTGGGAAGCCCCTTTCCCCAAAAACTACTAGTCTTGTGCCAGCATGGAGGTCTGGCGGTCCCTGCTGCTCCTGCTGGCCCTGAAAATGCTGTGGGCAGGTGAGCATGGTGGAGAAACTGAGGCCTAGTGCCCAGTCTCCAGAGGGTTGTGGATGGGAGATGCTTTGTGATGAGGAAATTACCTGATGCTTCAGATCCCTGAGGAGAGGCATCTACAAAAGGAAAGCGAAGCCTGGTGACAGGCCTGTGGGCTCAGTATTTGAGGGGTCTGAGGCAGGAGGATTGCCATGAGTTCAGTTAGAGTGAGACTCTATCTGAAAAAATGAGGTTAAGATATAGCTTAAGTTGCTGGGGCATGTGCTGGGCCTACACAAAGCCTGGGTTCCATCCTGCATTAAACCAGGCATGGTGGAGCACACCAGTCATCCTAGCACTGAGTACTGACATTAAAGCTGTGGGTACCACAGATGACTTTGTAAAGGTCTCACCATGTAGTCCTAGCTGGCCTGGAATTTATGACTACCTTCTTTGAGAGTCAGCAATTAAAGGCATGTGCTACCCTGCTGAGGCACACTTTTTTTCTTCCTAAAGGAGTGTCTCCTGAGTCCCAGATGACCTCAAACTCACTGTAAAGCTGTGTCTCATGCCTGGAACCCCAGCTCTAGGGAAGGAGCCACAGGATCCCTGAGACTCTGGGAACTTGCCGAATCTGAGCTCCAGGTTCAGTGAAAGGCCTTATCTCAAGGTGCAGGGCGATGCCAAGAACACCAGACTTGGTCTCTGACCTCTCTATAGACACATCTGTACACATATATACAGTTTGGAGACAAGATCTTACTATTGTAATTCTGGCTGACTCAAGAGTCTGCTTGCCTCTGCCACCTAAGCGCTGGTACTAGAGTTATGCAACTACTTTCCCAATTTTTGATGCTTATATTAGCTTGGAATCTTCTAGAACCTCTCCAAAGAACAAGGAGGAGAGAGAACAACTTGGCTTTTGCAAATGTAACGACTTTTAAAGTTATGGGCTGCCGGGCGGTGGTGGCGCACGCCTTTAATCCCAGCACTTGGGAGCAGAGGCAGGCGGATTTCTGAGTTCTAGGCCAGCCTGGTCTACAGAGTGAGTTCCAGGACAGCCAGGGCTACACAGAGAAACCCTGTCTCGAAAAACCAATAAAAAAAAAAAAAAAAAAAAAAGTTATGGGCTATGCACTGGTCTCAGACAGCACAGTAACTGTTTTTTCTTGAGAGTCTGTGGAGATGCTCAAGTGACACAGCTGATCTCAAACTCCTAGCAGTTCTGTCTCAGCGTCCCAAGGCCTGCCTTTACAATGGGATTTTAAAGTGTGAAGAGAGGCTGTGCTTGCACCTCAGTGGACAGAGCAAGCTCTTGTCTAACATGGGAGATGTCCTGGGTTCCACCAACCATAGTAGCACATGCCTATCTGGGAAGATAGAAACAGGACTGGAAGTTCAAGGTCATCCTTGGCTTCATTAGTTCCTGGCTAACCTGGGCTACATGAGACATTGTCTCAAAATCAAAGTTTGTTTTTTTAAGGGGGGGAAAAACAAGAAAGCACTCATGAATGGGAGACTTCCTTGGGTGGTGAAAAGCTATTCTGTGGTGGGTGGTGGCTGCAAGTTGTGTAAACAAGAGGTCAGCTTGCCAGTGTGTGAACTGGCCCCCACCAAGTGGCAGAGGTGACACTTTCCCAGAGAAAATTTGGTTTCTCTTTAGATCCGGTTTAAGTTTCTTTTTTGTCCTTTTTTTTTTTTTTCTTCAAGAATTGCTGGGCAGTGGTAGTACACACCTTTAATTCCAGCACTTGGGAGACAGAGGCAAGAGAATATTTGAGTTCTTGACCTAGTCTACAGATAGCCAGAGCTACATAGAGCTACATAAAGAAACCCTGTCTCAAAATAAAATAAAAATAAAAATAAAGCTTCAAGAATGATATAGAACAGAGAACTCTGCTTTCTTCTACGGGTAAAGGCCCTGGGATGGGACCCAGACCCATCACAGTATTGACGGGCCCTTCAAAGCTGCTTCTAGTAGACATGGCCGGGCCACGTGGCTCAGAGCAAGACAGGCTCTCTAAAGCATATGGGAAATCAAGATTTTTGAATTGACTCAAATTCTTATCAATATTTATTTTAAAATCTGCTTGTTTTGAGCTGGGCGTTAGTGGTGCATGCCTTTAATCCCAGCACTCGGGAGGCAGAGGCAGGCGGATTTCTGAGTTCGAGGCCAGCCTGGTCTACAGAGTGAGTTCCAGGACAGCCAAGGCTACACAGAGAAACCCTGTCTTGAAAAACAAAAAAACAAAACCAAAAAAAAAAATCTGTTTGTTTCATTTTGTTTGAGACAGTTTTCTCTGTGCTCTGGCTGCTCACTCTCTGTAGACCAAGCTGGCCTCAAAACTCAGAGATATGCCTGCCTCTGCCTCTGGACTGAGATTAAAGACTGGCTTATTTAAAAATTTTAATCTGATCCTATTTCTACCTCCCCAGGGCTGGGCTGACAGGTGTGTACCACTAGACCTGGATTCTGTGGTTTAGGGGAAACCCAGGGCTTTGTGTATGATAGGCAAGTGTTCTACCCACTGAGCCCAGCCTGGTGTTCTGTATCAACCATTCAAAGAAGTTTGCAGAGAAACAATTCTCATAGTACATAGCTCACTGAAATTCAGAAGCCACACAAGAATGGAGGCACTGTCACATCCTTCACAAACACTTACCCCCACACCCTGGCACCCACAAATCCACATCCTGTCAGAGTTTCATGCTGTGACATTTTGTGACTGATTCTCCCCCTGAACATCATATTCTCAGGGCCCTGCCAAGTATTAGCACCCAACTCCTCTCTGTGGCTGTGTAATCCAGTGTATGAGCAGAGTGTGAATCAGTTCCTCATACATACATATGTGTGTGTGTGTGTGTGTGTGTATGTGTGTATATATATATATATATGTGTATATGTATGTGTGTATGTGTGTATGTATGTGTGTATGTATATGTATATGTATGTGTGTATGTGTGTGTGTGTATGTATGTGTGTGTATATATGTGTATGTATGTATGTGTGTATGTATGTGTGTATGTGTGTATGTATGTGTATATGTGTGTATGTATGTATGTGTGTATGTATGTGTGTATGTGTGTATGTATGTGTATATGTATGTGTGTATGTGTGTGTGTATGTATGTGTGTGTATATGTGTGTGTATGTATGTATGTGTATGTATGTGTGTGTATGTATGTATGGGTATGGAAGGTTAAGTGCAATGTACAAAGAGGCATTTGATCTCTAGCTGGAGTTCCAGATAGCTGTGTGTGAGTTGCTGGTGTGGGTGGTGGGAATTGAACTTAAGTTCTCTGCGAGAGTAGCCAGTCCTCGTACCCTCAGCCGTGACTCCAGCTCCTCACTCACTGTTTAAGCCTAGCCTCTGATAGCTGAAGAGTGTCTGAGCAGTGGGGGCTGGTGGGGTCTAGGACAAGGGTCAGTGGGGACCTCAGACACCTGACCCGCCAGATTCAGGGCTTCCAGGCTCAGTGGAGGGTTGAGATGCAGCACCTCCAAACAGCCCTCTCTCCCTCCCTTCTCAGCAGGCAACAGATTTGAGACCCAGATCATTGGGGGTCGAGAGGCAGTCCCACACTCCCGCCCATACATGGCCTCTCTACAGAAAGCCAAGTCCCATGTGTGTGGGGGAGTCCTCGTGCATCGGAAGTGGGTGTTGACAGCTGCCCACTGCCTGTCTGAGCCGTGAGTATCCTTCTCCATGTCCCACCATGGTTTCAGGCACTGAAGGACTCAGGCCAACCCTCTCCAGGCTGTATAGGCTGTGGCTTCAGGTTCGGTGGGTCATGTGGTACAGGAAAGGACACCTCCTTCCAACATGTGACACCTGGTAATGTGTGAAAGCCAGCCTGCCAATAAGACAGAGCCAGTGTAGCAAGAACTGCCATCAAGAAACCACTAGACAGAGCCATTTTGGTAGGGACGGTAGACTACTCATGCAGGGTCTCATCCTCAACACCAAAAAAAACAGGAGCCCAGAACAGAAGGAGGCAGCTCCTGTGTGTGACAGACGTCATGTGCCTGTCGTCCCAGCTCTCAAGGAGACTCAGGCATGTGCGCAGATCTCTAGCTGTGTAATTCCAGGCCACACAGTACGATCTTGTCATCTTAACCAAAAGGAATTGTTAGCTCATGTGTTTCAGAAGTTTAGGCTTCAGGTATGGCTCGATCCAGGTTCTGTCACATGGCTTGCAAGTGTGACGTAGGAGGTTATTTCTCTGTAGTTTGGATGAATGCAGGAAGTTAACACAAGCCAACTGACCTCAAGCCTAATCACAGAAGAAGGTTGCAGTTGGGGGAAGGGTACTGAAATCTCCCAATCTGGCGCTGGGTGGGAGCCAGAGCAGGAAGTCTCCTCGGGAGAGGGCTGAGAAGATGGAAGATAACCTGCCAGGAGCGGGCTGGGGAGATAGCTATGGATGTGTGGAAAGGGAAGAATGACATTTCTCAGGCTGTGGGCGGCTGTGGGCGACTGTGGGCGGCTGTGGGTAAGCAAGGTTTACACTGCAGGCTACAGAAGCTGAGGCTGGTGCTCGGCCTGCACAATCTCCATGACCCCCAAGATCCTCGGCTCACTTTCCACATCAGGGAAGCCATTAAACACCCTGCCTACAACCACAGATACGAGAACGACCTGGCACTGCTTAAGGTGCGGGCAGCATGGGGTGGGGTAACTGAGGGCCTACCATAGCAGCCTGGCTTCCATCAGCCACTCACTGACCCTCCTGTCTCCACAGCTGGATGGGCAGGTGCAGCCCAGCAAGAAGGTCAAACCACTGGCTCTGCCGAGAAAGCCCAGAGCCAGGCCGGCAGAAGGCACCCGGTGCAGCATAGCTGGCTGGGGTATGACCCACCAGGGTGGGCACCTGGCCACGGCCCTGAAGGAGTTAGATATGCGTGTGCTGGACACCCGAATGTGTAACAACAGCCGCTTCTGGAACGGTGTCCTTGTGGACAGCATGCTGTGCTGAAAGGCTGGGACCAAGAGCCAAGCCCCCTGCAAGGTGAAAGCGATGGCCAGTAAGCCTGGCCTGGGCAGCAGCCTGAACCAGCCTGACACCCTGGGGAGTGGAAGGAGGGCGGGACTAACACTCACCTCATTTCTCAGACAGGGAAACTAAGGCCCTGGGAGGGTAGAACACCCGTGTCTAGGTTGGAAGTGGAGAAGCCAGAGAACATCTGGGCCCAGAGCAAAGCTCCTGGGGTACAAAGGAGAGGAGAAAGGAGGGAAAGGAAGAGGCAAAGAGACAAGAAGGCAAGAGTGCACAGGGAGCTTACAAGAGGCCCCAGACCCTCCCAGCCTCTTGCTCCCCAACTGCAGGCACAAAGGCTGATTGGTGTGTCCTTCACTTGTTGCAGGGTGACTCTGGAGGGCCCCTGGTGTGTGGCAAAGGTTGGGTGGATGGCATCCTGTCGTTCAGCTCCAAGAACTGCACAGACGTCTTTAAGCCTCCCGTGGCCACTGCTGTCGCCCCCTACAGCTCCTGGATCAGGAAGGTCATTGGTCGCTGGTCACCGTGGCCTCTGGCCTGATGTCCCAGATGATCTCAGACACCATTCTTGATGGCTGGGGCCAGGAAGGTGTGCCTATGGAGACTAATAAATCTTGATATATCTGTTGAGTCCACCCCTGTCTGCCTCTGGCCTCTGCAAACCTCCATTCCCTCTATAATTATGAAGGTGACCCATCACCGAATGGCTGTCAGGAGAGTCCTGGGATACAGGCATTGGCTTGCAGGGAGGCAAAGCAAGAGCAATTGCAAGTGTGGCCAGCAGGGGGTGCAAGCTACCCTCTGTGGCTATCACATGAGGTAGGGGGCGATCCCCAACTTCTGATTTACTGACAGCACAACAGGAACGGCTAAAGTGTCACTTCAGTGGGTGTCAGTGCATTCAGCATCCGGTTCCAGAACATTCCATCACTGTGCTTCCACCTCAAACGTAGCCCCATCCCCAGTCTTGTCCCCACAGACCTCCCTGGACTCTGCTGCCTGCAGTGTACTCTCACACTGTGCGGCCTTTGTGTCCAGGTCTACATCGGGCTCCATGTTCTCAAGGCCCCTTCCTATCGTGACGGGTGTAAGACCCTCCCTCCTCTACCTGGTTCCCTTGGGCTGGAAATTAACTGGACAGAAAATGCATTGGCAGGAAAGAAACCATCACAAGTCTATTAGAGAAGTGAGAGCCAAGGGTGCCTGGAAAACATGGCAGTCAGCCCAGTCCTGTCAGCTCTGCAGTTGGGAGGCTGAGGTAGGAGGATTGCCTCCATTTCAAAGTCAACCTGGGCAGCGAAACAGCCTGTCTCAAGGTGGGGGGTACTATCTCTACGGCTTTCTCCCAGAATATTCTTTTCTTCTCTTGAGAGAGGGTCCCACGCAGCCCAGGCTAGCCTCAAACACCCTGTGTCTAATGTAGCCGAGGATGACCTTAAAATCCTGTTGTGCCTGCTTTCACCTCCTAGATGCTGGGTGTCAGGCATGTTCCACAAGCCCTCTTGAGCCTGGTGCTAGGGGAGCATGCTCCACCGAGGTACCCCTCCTTTCTTCCACAAAAACAGCTTTGTGAGAACAGGGAGGCTGTGGAAGGCAGCCAGGAGTCAGAGGGCGGAATTCAGTCTTGAAGCTCAGATGCCTTGGGCGGCTTGTTTTCCAGCCTGCACTTTGTCCCAGAATTCGAAATTGACTCAGCCTCTCTCTCCCATGCCCCAGGGAGGATCCCGCCTGCCTCACCTGGCTTCCGGACTCCGGGTGGCCCTGGCTCAGTAAAATAGGCTTCAAAAGTATCAACAGATTAACTCAGATTTTATAGACAGAGAAGGACATGTCTGGAAGCAACAAATCTGGGAGTGGTGGGTACATCTGGGATCCTAGCACTCAGGAGGCTGGGGTGGGCAGGGCAAGAATTCTAGGTGAGCCTGGGCTACAAAGCTGGACAGACTTCATCAGTTAGAGCACTGGCTGCTCTTGTAGAGGACTCAGGTCTGAGTCACACATGGTAGCTCAGGACCACTTGTGACTTAAATTCAAGGGGATCAGATTCCTTCTTCTGGCCAGCCTCTGAGGCAACCTCTCACCCAATAGAAATAAGTCTTAAAAGAGGGAGTGGAGGCATAAGACTCAGAAGTTCAAGGCCATCTTCTGCTACTTAGGGATGTGAGGCTACCCTGGGCTACCGTCATCCTGCCTCCACTTCCCCGGTGACAGGCATATGTCACATGCATTTGCTTTGTGTAAGCCCAGGATAGACTAGACTCCTACCAAGTAGGTCCTAGGCTAGCCCTATCTTTCTCTTTTTGTTTATTTTTCTTCTTATTTTGTTTTCTTATTCTTCTTTGATTTTTTGAAACAGGGTCTCTAAATCCCTGGATGTCCTGTAACTCCCCTATATAGACCAGGCTAGCCTCAAAGTCACAGAAATCCTCCTGCTTCTGCCTCTCCAGTGCTGGGACTAAAGGCATGAACCACCACACTCCATTCTTACTCATTTTTGAAATGAAGTCTCTTTCTAGTCTAGGCTGGCCTCGAAAATTCTTGGCTCTGTGTCCCCACCTCCCACCTTCAGAGGCAGGGGATTGGACGTGTGAGTCATCAAGTATGGCTCTCTTCATCCTCCATGACATTCGAGCTCTTCCCATGGCCCTTCACAAACAGACAAACAGTCCCCAACACCCAGGTTGTGAGTGCAAGTTAACCTTGGGCATCAAGGAGAAGTTGTTTTAATTTTCTCATTTTGTTTTTGTTTGTTCTGAGACAGGCTGGCCTTGAACTCAGAGATCCATCTGCCTCTGCCTCTTGAGTGCTGGGATTAAAGGCCTATGCCATCAGATCCAGCTGGGTTTTTTGAGACAGGATCTCTTACTGGGACCTGGAACTCACTGAATTAGCTAGCCTGGCTGCCCAGTGATTCCCAGGGATCTGCCTTTCTACCCACCCCAGTACTGGCTTTAAAAACCCTTGACAGCACTCCAGGATTTCTCTGCAGAGTTGAGCTCAGATCCTTACGTCTGTACAACAGACACTTTAAAACTCTCTCTCTCTCTCTCTCTCTCTCTCTCTCTCTCTCTCCCTCTCTCCCTCTCTCCCTCTCTCCCTCTCTCCCTCTCTCCCTCTCTCCCTCTCTCCCTCTCCTCTCTCTCATTGCATTGCCTAGGCTATGAAACAAACAAACAGACAAACAAAAAAGAAACACAGTCTGAAAAAAAATAAATAAATAGTTGAGGTTTATCTGTTTTGTTTTTTGGTTTTTCGAGACAGGGTTTCTGTGTGCAGCCCTGGCTGTCCTGGAACTCACTCTGTAGACCAGGCTGGCCTCGAACTCAGAAATCTGCCTGCCTCTGCCTCCCAAGTGCTGGGATTAGAGGCGTGCGCCACCACTGCCCGGCATGAGGTTTATCTATAAGCCCTTAAACACTCATCTATGGTCCCTCCTCAGTTTAGACAGAGGTGTGGTGGCCTCTGTCTCTGAGGATTTCTCTGGCAAGATTGATAAATCCTAAAGTGAGGACGTGGCCACAGTCCTGAATACCATGGCCAGCAGGACATCCTCTTAGGTCTCAGTCCCCACCAGGGTTCTGGGGCGGCTCCAACTGGACACAGATCAGTGGTGCCGGGCCTGTGAGGCAGGGAAGTTGTTTTACTGCTGTTGTCCACACCTTCTCAGTTGTTGCTTCCAGCTAGAAGCAGTCCCACCCATCCACGAGGAGTAGGAGTCCAAAGGCAGGAGCCAGACAGGAATGACCTCCACAGATAAGTAGCATGGAGCCGTTCCTGCCCCACCTGGCAATACATGAGGTTTTTCCTCCTCCTCCCCCTCCTCCTCCTCCTCCTCTTCTTGTCTCTCTCTCTCTCTCTCTCTCTCTCTCTCTCTCTCTCTCTCTC